GGAGGGAGGGAGGGAGGGAGGGAGGGAGAGAGAGAACAGAGAGAGAGAGAGAATGCCGAAACGGCACACATCTTACGCGCAGACGAACTTTCAGCTATCACCCCGCTCCTTCGCGAGCCCCCCCCCACCCCTCTCCCCGCGCGCACGTACCTGTTTTGATCCTGATAGGTGGCGACACCTGCACAAGCTGCTCGTTCTCCTTCACGATGCCATGATACAGCAGATCTTCGCTAGCTAACTCCGGTCTGGCCAATGCTGCCGAGCGAGAGAGGAGAAAAAACACTCAATTAGTTTCACGCGACAAAAGACGGGGGCTAATTACAGGAAGACGCTCGTTATAACAATCTTCGATAACATCAATAATTATCAGGAGTAGTGCATGAATTCAAACACAATGCACAGTCAAACACACTGTATTAATCACTAGGTCATATATGGGGGTAATGTATTATTTTACTCCTGATGAGAACACTGTATTATTTATACTGGGTCACATTAATGTAGCTTTTTACTCCTCACATCACACTCTATTATTTATACTGGGTCATAGAAATGTAGGATTTTACTCCGGAGAGAAAAACTTAATAATATCACACTGGAAAACAATCTATGATGTAACTTCGGATGTCTGATATAAGGTGGGAAATCAGTCGGAGGTCGGCACGCTAATTATATGATCAATATCAACATCATCATCATCATCATCATCATCATCATCATCACCATCATCATCATCATCATCATCATCATCATCATCATCATCATCGTCATCATCTATACACAGTGCGTGTGCCCGCACTACCACGGCAACAGTACACTGCGGTTACCGGGGGGGGGGGAACTACCATGCATGCATGGAAGCACACTCAAGATGATGGATGTTTCGCGGCACACAAGAAGACACCATTGTTTTCTTGCTGTGCGTGGCGTGTGTTTTGCTGTGTGTGTGTGAGTGCGTATGTGCGCTCTTGCATGTGTGCGTGTGTATGTGTATGTAACTGTCACTGTGTGTATGTGCGCGTGTGTGTTCGCGTGTGCGTGTTAGACTTAGTGCGTGTTTTCGTGTGTGTGCGTGTGTGTGTGTGTGCGTGTGTGCGTGCGTGCGTGCGTGCGTGCGTGCGTGCGTGCGTGCGTGCGTACGTGTATGTGACGGTGCGTGTGCGCTCGTGCGTGCGTGTTTTCGTGCGTGCGTGTGTGCGTGCGTGTGTGCGTGTATATATGTGTGCGTTTGTGCGTGTGTGCGTGCGTGTATATCTGTGTGTGTGTGTGTGTGTGTGTGTGTGTGTGTGTGTGTGTGTGTGTGTGTGTGTGTGTGTGTGTGTGTGTGTGT